AATTCTGTGCATAATATAAAATTTAAGATATGAGGCTTTATTTGTTTCCCAAGGAGCACTACTATTTATTATTTATTAATCTATTAAGAAGCATTATTAAAAGAATGCATAACTATATGATTGTCTATGTTCTATTAAAAAAAATTTATATCCACATAAACTCAAACTAAAACTTTATATTTAGAAAAAATGATAATAAAATTTCTCTAAAATATATAAATGATAATTTAATTATTTGAAATGACATAGTTCTCTGAAGTCCCTATGGACTTTTTTGTCATTAATAAATTTATATAAATTATCAAATTATCATTGTTAAAAATAAATGATTCACAACTTTTTTTCTTATATTCGTAATAATACAACAGTAAATTATAATTTTGCATGTTAAATTTCTTATTTAATATTACATTATTGTGAATATAAGAAAAAAATTATAAATATAAGAAGGAAAGTTGTGAATCATTTATTTTCAACAAAGATAATTTAATAATTTATATAAATTCATTAGTGACAGAAAAGTTTCTAAAAACTTCAAGAGAATTATGATATTTTAAGAAATTAAATTATTATTTATATATTTTAAATAAATTTTATTTTCATTTTTCTTTATATTTAAGCAGTCATAATTCTTCACACTAAAATTAATACCCATTGATTTAGATAGCAATAATTGACCTGCGAGGTATAAAATCATGCACTTTCATTCCTTCTAACATTAATTAGCGAAAACTTAATTGATTTTGTGCTTAATTATCATCATCAATGAACCCAAGGCTAATTAAAGTACACTTTCAGCAGCATACGTTTTAAAGATTCTCATTTGTCTTCATCGCACGTTCGCCTTATTCATGACAACTTCAACTCTTTGTTTAATCTTTTCTTCTTCCTTTTCTTTTATTGTTTTCTCTGTTTCTGGTGTGGCTAGAAATATACTTGTAAACAATAAAAAAAATTAATTTCTCAAGATAACAATCTTTCGTCATTATTTTATTATTTGATACACCTCTATACATGCGATTTCAACATTTCGTGTACCCAATATCATAGACATATTCAATCGTATCATATTCAAATATCGTTAAAGTATCGATATAATTATATAAATAAAATTTAAACCATTTGCACCTATACGGCCCATCAAAATCACTTTGATATTACCCCCGGGAAAAAAAAAAATCATCTTGGCAAGAAGAATAGAATGTTTTATAAATTTTGAATGGTAGGATGTTATTAAAGCAAAACAAATTCCTTTCAATATAATACCAACACTATGATCGAAAGGGACATAATAGTGACTTTTCAGAGTAATATATATTGCGAAGCTAATTAACCAACCAAATAAAGGTAGGTGGCAGCTTTAGGATTATAAACAATATTCTAACTTTTAAGGGTCAATATTAAACACTATAATTAATTTAAGCAGGTGTGAAAGCCATCGATAAGATTAATTAAAATGCTCTGGATAATCGTCAGCAGTCTAATTAACCCACTGGTAAAGTTAAGGGTTTAGTGTGGATATTAGCTGCCAAAGTATCTCCTAATCATATCTAACTTAATTACAATAAGAAAAATTTTAGTGGGCCATCATGGGGCCACAAGGGAGTGCAAGTCGTGTTTTCAATAATTTCATATTATATTTAATCATATATATTATAGGTCTATCTAATATATTTATGTTGTAATCAAATTGAGTTGATGAACATGCATGGTTAATTCATTTGACCCAAAAAAAATGGTTATTAGAATTTTGTGATCATGGTTCTCTTATTGTCAAAAAAACGCCATGCTTATTTTCATTTTCTAGGGCGACTCCATCACGTTTGATAAAAATTAAAGAAAAAATTAATTTTTTAAATTTTTTAATTTTTAACTCACTTATAATTTAATTTCTCAACTATAATCTCCTGTAAATCAATCTCTCAATTTTGACTAGCTATAAATCAGTCTTTCAACTATGACTTACTTATAATTTAGTCATTATTTTTAAAAATTTTTTAAAAAATTATCCTTATCAAATAAGAAGGATAAAAAATTTTTTATATATTGCTCTAAAATACCATCTCTTGATCTTTAATGTAGGATCTAAGCTAGCATGAAACAAGAAAACTAACAAAAGTTGAAAGATTGATTTATAAGTGAGTTAAAAGTTAAAAGATTAAGTCGTCGTAAGCGAGTCGTCTGTAAGTAGTCATAATTGTAGCGAGTCATAATTGAGAAAATGAGTTATAAATAAGTTAAAAATTGAAGGATTAAAATATTAATTTTTTAAAAATTAAATTCAATCTGCTAACCTTATCTCAAAATATTAAGTAATACTTTGTTATGCAATATGATCTAAGTTATGGGCAAGTTTTTTTAACTTCAAATATAAGTGATTTTTAAATAATTGAAATATTTCTTAAAAAATGATTTATTGTGTGGATATTTTATAAAAAGAACAATATATTTTGTGTTTAGTTAATTATAAAAATAAATTATTATTTATTAATTTTTCAAATTTATAACATTTTTATGCACAAAAATTAATTTATTATTTGATTATTTTAAAATTTTAAAATATTTTCATTCATTTTTATGACATTCTTTCTTTTATATCACATCACATCATATTATTTTTAGAAGTTACCTAAATTAACTTTTATAACTAATAAAAAATAATTTTTTAAAATTATAATTATTTTCAATGCCTTAAAAAAAATAATAAAATTTTTTATTTTTTTTAAGAAAATGATTTTTCATGAAAAAAATTAAATAACTGAAATTCATTTAAAAATATAAATTATTATATACGTGTGTATGTTGTGTTTTGATAGAATATTAATATCTCATATTTAAACTTATTAAAAAAAACCTCACATTCAATTAAATCAATTCCTTTCCGGGAAAAGTTAATAAAGATAAATTGAGAGTGAATTAATAAAACAGTAGTTATGTTTTGTGGTTTTATTTGATGTTAGAATACTAAATAACTCATTCCCTCCGTTAAATAATGTAAGGTATTTTAATTAAATCTTATCCTGATAAAGTAATTACTCACTTTCAAACTAACTCTATATTTTCATATTTACCCCTATTAAATACCCTATAATAAATATAAAGTCACTATCAATAGGAATACTTTTGAAAAAAAACAATGATTACGTTTCGAAAGACTAAAAATGTCTTGTATTTTTTAATATTTAACTCCTTAAAAATGTCTTTTTTTTAAATGAAGGGAGTATATGGATACTCTCATTTTTATTTCTCTCCTTTTATTCTCCTCTTCCTACCCTTACTCCTGAATAAAAAATTGATCAGTTAAGATTTAGTGTTTTATAAAATAAACAATAAACAAATAAATAAATCTAAACCGTTAAAATTCGATTTGAACAATGTACAGCTGTGAATTAACTGTAAACTATAAATAAAATAAATGAATGAATGAATCTGATTAAATCTCAATTGTGTGAGTGAGTGAGAGAGAGAATCTAAACTGTTAAAATTTGATATGAAGCTGATTAAGTCTCAATTTTTAATCTAAGGATGAGGATGGGATGAGAAGAAAAAAGGAGAGAAGAGGCGCGCGCGCGTGCTTCTTCACCCACACGATACCGACCTTAATTAGGATCTTGGCTGGCTAACTTGCAACAACTTTACCAAATCAAATCGAATGTTGAGAATTAAGATGCTCTATTATTCTCCAGATACACTGTGATCGTTTTCTAATCACAAATTGAAAATTGGAACATTTTAGACGAGGTGAGCAAAACACATTTTTATTGGCTGAAGTGCTATGGTATTGAGTTTTGAATAGATATAACGTAAGAATAGGATACTATTTGTGATTGTTAATCACTTTTTGTATCTTTTATATTTATATAGATATTGTTATTAATGATATATTTTATACAAATTTTTAATATTTTTTAATATTATGCATTTTTATTTTTGAATCATCATAAATTTACCTTTTTAATAAAAATACTGTAAAATGATTTTTTTAAATTTCTTTATTTCATTTAAAAAAAATTTCTTATGCTTACTCTATGATGTTACTCTGTATTTCTATACTATAGTAATTTTAACAACTTAAGTAAGAAATTATCAAAGCGGGTTTTAAAAAATTACGTAAATTGACAGGGATTATTAAAGTCAAATACGAGTTGCACACTTTCGTATGAAAAATAGTTTTATAATGTCAAAAAAAATATTTGAGCGATTTATATAAGCTAAAAGATAAAGTAACGCAAAATAAAATTAACAGATGGAAATTGACTTATTTTTAAAACTAAAAGGTCATGTTATTAATTACGTTCTTTTGGCCAGCTAATAATTAATTGCATTAAATATACCGGTTAATATCAATAGACATGTATTAAGAATTAATAGTATAAAAGAAAATATACGTGAAGCCGCCAGAATGCCACCACTTCGATCTCTAGCGGGCGAGGCAAACTCAAGATAAATATTGAATAGTTAAATACACACGTATCAATATTCAATAATCAATAGATTATGGATAAGAAAGAGGTTGATCAAGTGAATAGATGAGCAATTAACAAAGTCAAATGATTCCCCACTTCATGATTATAACTTAATAGCTTCCAAGGGACTTTGTTTCATATATGAAAAGTCAGGAATAGCTATGATAATTAATAATGCACTGGCTTAACTTTAGTTTAACGAATAATCACAAGAAATCGCAAGCTCTTATTCCACCTGTATACAATAATCAGATATACACCGAAATCAGACTCATCTAACTACGACCGCGGACTCCAAACAATGAATCACCAAATAATAACAATAATTTAATCCTCATAATCCTCCCTGCTCCATACATGGAATAAAAAAACAAAGCATAAACACATCAATTAAATAAATAAATAAAAGAAACAAAACTACTCCGTAAGACCAGGATGAAAAAGATCTCGTCCGTCCAAGCAAATCAACATCAAAATGTCCGATGCCAGCCCCGTGGAATAATCCTACGAATGAGTAATCCAATTCAGAATAATCTAAGCCAAGACGAAGGCGAAGAAAGTCGCGGCGAGAGCAGTCCCGGCAACGGCGGCCTTGCTGACGGAGAAAGCGGCGGACGGTGGCTCGGAGCCTGGCGACTCAGGAGCAGCGCCTCCTGGGCCGGGAGCCGGCGGGGAACTAGAACCGCTGGGACCGGGTGCCTCAGACGGGGGAGCACCGGAAGAAGGCGAAGGGGTCGGCGAGGGAGTGGCCGGAGCGGGGGCAGGAGCCGGCGGTGGAGTGGCCGGAGCAGGGGTGGGAGCTGGTGACGGAGAAGGTGAAGGTGAAGGTGAAGGTGTAGGTGAAGGAGATGGGGTGGGAGTGGGCGTTGACGGCGAGGTCGGAGCCGGTGAGGGTGCAGTTCTCGGGGCTTGAGCCAAGCACGAGGTGGCCAAAAGCCCCAAAATCAGAATCACTTGGACGCCATGAAAACCCATGTTTGACGATGAAACTCGTAGACACAAACAATTGAGGAGAAACAGAGAGAGTGAGATATGAGAGATGGGAAAGAGTAAATCACATATATATAAGCAAACAGAGGGGAGGTGGGAGAGCTGAATTATAATTGGTCCAGATATTATTAAATTAAAATAACTTACGTGCATGAGTCATAGTTCACCTGTCGTGGATATGCAATTCCATATTCTTCTTAACCAACCAAGAGCCAACCCATATCGACAACGTGGGTTAACTGGGCAATATGGCGGTGCTGCGTAATTATTAATGAGTCAATAGTCTATATTTTATTTTATGGGTTTTTATGTTCTTTTTCAACATTATAGTAACCCTTTACCTAATCAACTCAATTATGAGTTGCCTTTAGACTCTTTTGTTTTATATATGTATGGTTCTTTATTAATTTGTTATTTACCAACAGCTGATGATTTTTGAAATTTTCAAGCGTTGCAACATGTATTGACTCTTTATATATATGAATATTATTTGGATATTTATATTGAAAGATAAATGCATTTGTTTTTTTTTTAATATTATATTATGTTATTGTGAGATAAAAACGCGTTGCGGATACAATACTTTTTTGGGTTGAGACTGGTTTGACCTGGTAGCTCTTACGGAGTTATTAAAACACACAACTACTCTGGACCTGAAAATCGATTCCTTCATTCGTACACTGAACTTACTAGAATATTGTGGAGGTGCTGGACTTGTACATGCACAAGATTATAATACGAACGAGAAATGACGTATGGCACCAAGTGGCCCCGTGACATGGCGTTGTGGAATGATGTACTCTCTTTTTCTTTGATACAAAGGAGGAAGCATGTATTTCTCCTAGTCCAATGTTATGAAATTTTTTTTCCAAGTGTCATGTTAAAAATTTTTCAAAAATATCTTTAATTAGATGATATAAATGTAGAGAGAATATGTAATTTTAAAAGTAATTACATAATTTAATAAAAATAATTAACTAATTATTAAAAGTATAATTTAATTAAAAGTTTGCTATAATATTAAATGGACACTAAGATTAATATATTGTTTTCACTTTTGAATATTTGATTTCTTAAATTTTATGATAACAAGAATTTGGCAGCTTATAAAATCCCATACTAATAAGAACACGACAGAGTGACTTAAGATTTTATTATTTATTTTTTTGCCGAATTAATTTGGATAACGAAAAAATCAAGAGTAGAGGGAAGGCAGGTAGGAAACAAGAAAGTTCGTTGAGGGTGAGAAGAGGGAGAAACGTAGAATTGTACAGGGAAATTTTCAATAAATATCCTGACCATAGATAATTAAAAGGAGAATTTTAAAAATTTTGAATCCTCAAAACAATTTAAGCGTTCTGAATCGAAATTAAAATTGAGAATAAAATTTTATTTTTCAACTGCACCTTGTTCATTTCTTTATAAAATGTTATTAACTGTCCTATTTCAATTATTTGACACATTATTCTTACTAAATTTTATTTTAAGTGTTGCTTTCATTTTAATTTAACTTATCTGTCTTCTTATTATAACTTGTTCATTTTCCAACAACAAGTATAAATTACCCATTAATAAGATTTTAGCATTAAAAGCATAATTAATCTCACAATTTTCTTAATGATTAATCAAATCCTTACTAAGATTTTATTGGTATAAAATGAATATGGAATAATTGAAGGTGATGGACCAGCACACCTAAACGCCCATTTTCACATGTACGGTCTCTCTCTCTCTCTCTCTCTCTCTCTCTCTCTCTCTCTCTCTCTCTCTCTCTCTCTCACAAAAAGAATGGTTCGTTGAAATGTGACGGACGATTCAACAGGGTCCTAATCTTCACAATATATGACCTTTGAAACTTGAACACAACCAAGGAGATTGTCTCTATCTCTATCACTATCTTTGTCTATCCGTATCTGTTTTGAAATTCTCAGGTTAAGAGGTCGGTTTGTTCTGTGATGAAGAAAACCAGAGCCGGATTAGACGAGATAACCTCATGAGGGCATCACTTTGACGTCAAAGCGAGGTTGGTGTTGCCGTTACTTAACAGTATTCCTCCGTGTTACTGTACGTGTCAAATTTGGGTCCATACGTTATCCTGATCGACTTTCGAACATATATGTTTAAGTTTATTGATGCCGGCATCACCACCAATGTGGCTTGCCCAGCTATTTCCATAGATTACGATTGGCCCTTTTTTTTTTTATATACAAACAATCCAATTTCTATTGGGCTCGTTTCTTGGGCTTGGCTATTGGGCTAAAACCTCAAGGACTGATCCAAATTCATAAACTTGCCCAATATCAACAGCATGTGGGTTCTTTTTATGGACCATCTAATCAAACCCGACTAATCCTCTTAATTATGCATAAATAGCCTAGTGAAGGTGGCACATACGGTAGTGGTTTGTACCCCTTAAATATCATTCTAGAACTTGATTTTTAAAAGTGTGTATGAAAAAAATATTATTTGAGAGAAGACAATTCTTTAAATGACACTCAAATTTCTCAAGAAATTAGTTTTATTTCTGTCGAATATGGGGATACCTTGGAAAGTAAAAAAAATTATATATCAAATAGAGTAATAATATAATAATGATGAGGATGGCATTTACAAGCTCATGTTCCTCGTATAAGCTTGAAAAATATTTTTTTTTGTCATTTGAAAATATTTTATCATTTATATTCTTGTATCAAAATCCTTCAGACAGACATATATCATTTTTAATTATGTCACCAAACTTCAAAATCAGAACTCTATCAATACAAGCAATATGCAGTATTTTTCCTTTGTTGGAAGTTTTAACAATTTGTTCTCTTATTTAATGAAATAAAATATGTAAACGGTTGGATTTCAAACGTATCCATTAAAAGATTGTGATCGATAGGCAGTGAGGAACCCTGGGTTGTTGTCACCTAACAACAGCACAATAACAAGCACAAGTCAAGTAAGCAGGCATAGACCATAAATTAGTCAAGGTTTATTTTTTTACATTTCGTATCTAAAAAAAAATAGTGTTTCTTTTAAAAATAAAAATTGAATTGAATTATCAATTAAAATCAGCATGAGTGGTAGAAGCTCTTGTCATTTAAACAGATAATTAGGAATTTGAACTTCAACTCTTTTATATGTGACAATTTAATTTTAAAAAGTCTAATATTACTCTTAGTTTCTCGTGGGAAATATATTTTATTATTGACAGGCTCCTTGTACATAAAACTATGACATACTTATTTTTAAAGAAGGCTTATCAAATCCTTAGTTGCTGAACTAATCTTTGTTGGGCAGCAAATTCAGTCATTATGAATCAAACATACTTCTAATCCCATAAAAAAATTGTTAATTACCATGTTTTTGTATTCTCACCCTTTAAATATTTTTTTAGAAGTCAATCAGATATCGCGATCAAGTTTATTGCAACTCTCAGCCGTTGTTGGGGCTTTACTTGAGCAATTGTAGTTACGAAAGCGAGGAGGATCTTGGAGTGATATAAATATATAGCCATGGAAGTTCCAACCCAGGGGAAGCCCAGAGTGCTCTGCCTCCATGGATTCAGGACCAGTGCCAACATTCTCCACAAGTTGATCGGAAGATTGCCGGACACTGTTCTCCAGAAGCTTGACCTCGTCTTCCTGGATGGGCCCTTCCCTGCGCGGGGCAAATCTGACGTTGAATCCATCTATGATCCTCCTTACTTCGAATGGTTCCAGTCCAACGGGGTTCATCTCCGATCTTGACGAATCTCCTTCCATATATATCTTTGACGCGTTTCAGTACTGATAGTCGTTGTTGGTTCTAATTAAATTCTCTTGCAGGATTTCACAGATTTCATGAACTTCGAAGAATGCCTTGCTTACATTGAAGATTACATGGTGAAAAATGGTCCTTTTGACGGTTTACTTGGATTCTCTCAGGCGGGTTGACATTACTGACCAACTTTTCTCGGATCAAATTTTTTTTACTGAAACTTGACAGATTCATTTTACTTTCAGGGTGCTACTTTATCCGCTGCACTTCCAGGAATGCAATCGCAGGTACTAACAGATCCTCAACAAGCTTGCTTGACCCCTTTCTTTAGGTTGGAAAATGAAATCTTGAATTTGAATTCCTGAAGAATATCCAGAAAATACGGTAAACTGGGTGATTGTCTTGATTGATTCAATAACTTCAGGGCGTAGCACTTAGGAAAGTAGACAAGATAAAGTTTTTGATCCTGATATCAGGAGCCAAGTTTGGGGGAAAGAAGTTCGGAACGCCTAAATTGGCTTCCAATGCATTTTCAAAACCGATTAACATCCCATCTCTCCACTTCATTGGTAATTAACACTCTTCTTCTATCTCTCACCATATGCTATATCTGGGTATACAGTATAGATACAGAATGTGATAAATATATAATTGTATAAGCTTTGGTGGATGTTGTGTGGATGAAGGTGAAGAGGACTTCTTGAAGGAAGAGGGAATTGCATTATTGGATGCATTCGTGGACCCACTTGTTGTTCATCATCCAAAAGGACATACAGTCCCCAGACTTGGTTAGTTTTATTTTATGGTAACTAGTTAAATTTCCCAGCAATCTGATGCAAGTGTACATTCTGATTCATGGAGATTCTGCAGTATTATCATCTGAGTTTAGAAAATTTTGATCCTTGTTTCTGGTAGATGACAAGGGTCTGGAAACTATGTTGGCTTTCATTGACAAGATTCAGAGCAATGCCATCAAATCTTCATAAGCAAGGACTGAACAACCAACCTAGAGGCTTCTGATCTGCTTATGTAGGAGCCTGGGGACCAGTGGTTTAGAGATATTAAGGAAATGCTTATCTATCTTCAGTCAACTGTATTACTGTGTGGCAGGAAAAATAATGGATCGGTGATGAAATTTGATGCATGTTCTATCACGTTGGAATGAACGCACAAGTCAAAATAATGTTTGCATATGTTCGAAGTGCACAGTTCTATATCAATAGGGGATTATTCTAATCTTCTAATGTGATCTGCATATGTGATACGAGTGGATTGTTATTTTTTTAGATAATCAATTAGGATAAGTGTTGGACAAAAAAAAAAGGATTAGTGGATAACATCTATAGCAGACTTTAGTAATAGTAAGTGGATAAGTGAATCAGGAAAATGAAAATATTCTAGAGTATAAAGTTACTTATACAGAAATAAGCCATTAGAAGTATACATGGTCCAGGAAAAAGTAATAAAAGTTAATAGAATGGTATCTATATTCTATTGAGCATTTTATCTTGGCGTGTATTTTTTTTTTTTTTCCGTTTAAATCAAGTTTTTTCTCTTGACAAAGAACTTGCGTCTAATCAAGTGGATAATTAAATTTTGCAAAAAAAAAAATATGACCACCTATTCAACTTAGAATTAAATAATGGGAAAATGAAACTATATTTTGAATGTATTTTTTTTAAAAAAAAATTATTTAATTAAATTGAATTGATTTTGCAGTTTGTATTTTGTAAGTTGCGCTCCGTACAGGGCAGAGATAGACTCGAGCCGAGCCCCCATCTCGTTCGCATTAGAAAAAGTCAATGATTGATTTTTGGTCCAAAGCATTTTCCTCCTTTCTTTCTTTATCAATTCTAATGCCTCTCGAATTCTCAATCTCAATCCCAAATGGAGGCTTTTAAGTTTTAATTCATTTCCGAGTCAGAAAAAGTAACACCCATCCTTGAACTCTCACGCGCCGCCTTACGCGCCTCCTATCACCGCTCATTCCAATTTTCGACCCTCCATGGAACATCCCATGACGGACTCCGACCACAGCCGCCAGAACAACGTCCCCGTGCCAGAAAATAAATCTGATCCAAAGGACTCGGCTCCGGGAGCAAATGGAGATGGGAACGCGGGGGTTGCCGTTAACGCAGCGCAATCGGGACAGGAATCGGAGTCGCTGGGTCCTGAGGGGACGACGAAACGCACCGTATCTACCGGTAGCATCAGGAAGTCTGTGCATTGGAACCCTGATTTGGTTTCTGAAACCACCTTTGTATCTTCGCCTGAGCGATTCCGTTCGACTAGTTTCTCATCCTCAATGTCCCAGACTTCCATCAATGTGAAGGGTCAGTATGCGATTTGACTTGTATGAATAAATATGCCCAGTTGCGTGTCTATGTGAATGTCGATTTTGAAGGCTTTTGCGGAGCTAATGAACAATTCGGTGGTCCTGAATCAGATACGTTGGATACGGTTCGAAATGTGCTAGGAAGATGGGGAAGAAAGGTTGGAGAAGCGACGAAGAAGGCCGAGACTCTGGCTGGAAACACTTGGCAGCACTGTAAGTTTTACCGTTGAGTTATCTAATTTTTGGATTTATTTTTTGTGCTGGTTCCTTCGTCTAGTATTAATCTCTGGTGGATATGGAGAAAATATTCACTGAATGGTAAATGGCACTTGATTCACGGCCCCCCAAGTACATCCTTTCCTGAACCGATAACTGAAAACTCATGGTATTACTAATGGGAATAACATCAAATGTTTGTCTCCATCGATCGTTTTTTTTAGCGTTTTCGTGCCAAGAATTTGCTAGAAAATTACTATTAGAGTCCTGCAAACTCGATTATGACATGATAACCAATCGCACACAACTGTCAAATCGATGTTTAGTTAATGTAGTTTATTTCACAAATACTAGCACCGTGGGTCCAGTTCCAGAAGTGTTTCATTTTTCTTTGCTTATGTTTATTGGGACATCTTTGATCTTGGCATTATTATCATGTTTTTCCATGATACTTGTTCTAGTATGAAAGATCCTTTTATTTATTTATTTATATTGAATTTTTTTTTTCTGGGGGATTGATCCTAGATGATGGTTTGAGCCTTATTACATTCGCCAATTTTTTTAGGCACTAGGAAGTAGTTCATTCATGGGCGTTTCAATTTCCTGCATACTTGAAAGTTTGTTTGAAATGATGTTTTAACATAATATACATGTCCTGAGTACCAGCTTCTGGGATAGTTATCTTTTTTGTATGGTCTTTCCTTGGCCTTTGTATTCATAAAACATAAATTACACGTAAAATTTATTTTCTTGGGTCTTATATCTTAAACAGCACAGGAATGTTCACTTTTCATATATGCCTTGCTATTTTTTCCTTTAAATATAAGTGGTCTGACTACTTGATGAGTTGTCTACTCATTAAGCTTCATTTTAAGGTCTAGATCTTCATCTTATACTTAATGTAAAATTTTTCTTAGATCTACGACATAACTGTACTGAACTGGCTTTTTCTTGTCTAAATTATGTTGTGTTAAGTGAAAACAAGCCCTAGTTTTACTGAAGCTGCTCTCGGAAGAATTGCCCAGGGAACAAAGGTTCTGGCGGAAGGTGGTTATGAGAAAATTTTTCAACAGATGTTTGAGACAATTCCGGGGGAAAAGCTTCTGACTTCTTTTGCATGCTATCTATCCACGTCAGCTGGTCCAGTAATGGGAATTTTGTATATATCCACAGAGAAGATTACTTATTGTAGTGACAATCCTATTTCTTATAAATCTGACAACCGAACAGAGTGGAGCTATTATAAGGTACATATACAATAAACCCAAAAGAATGCTTAGGCTAGGAAAGTAATGGCATGGGGATTAATTTTCCTATCTATAGTTTAGTTTTATCTATCTGATTGGTTTATGTATATTTAGTGCTCTATCAATAGTCGTTGCATTCTGCATTTTCCAGGTTGGATTCAGCTTTAATTAGGTCTGGTTTTGGTTTAGAAGCTTTAGGGTTCATTGCACTCCATTCTTTTGAAAAGGGGCCCAGTTATATGACCCTCTTTTCTATTTTAACCTACCCTTTCCTCCTCTGAAATCAAATGACACTATCTCCCCAACAACTGGAGGTGGACTATTATTGTACTTGCTTTGACCAAATGTCTTTATAATTTATTTGTATTGTTTATATAATATGAAAAGAATTAAATTTTTATAAAAATGTGAAAGCGTCAATTTTTTAAATTTATAATAAATAAAATTCTATTTTTCAACCCAAAGTATATCACATTTAAATAAAAGTTTGAAAACAACTGTTATATAGTTTATATTTTTAATAAAAGAAATCAATTATTGTTTAGGGCATTTTTGTCTGATTTTAGGTCATGGATGCTTGACTGCTTGTGTATATTTTCGTAATATAAAGATTGGGTATTTTAAATGTTTCTTAGGTGGGGGGAGAGTGAGTCGCCCAACTTTCTATTTACCTTGGGACTTGGGAGGCTATACTTACAGCTATTTTTCAGGGAACCAGCTACTCTGTGGAATGCGTGCATGTGCTTGTGTTTGGCTAACATTGTAAAGGTAGTAAACTAGAGAGTAGAGATAAAAATCCTCATATCATTTTTCAATTATCATTACTCTGCAAGCCAAGTCTATGGTGCAATGATTGCACAAGTGAAACAGCCTTGTTGGCTGCAGTTTATAGACCATTGTATTTAAAAATGAGTTTGGGAGATAAAACAGCCAGCTGTTGCACCTTATAGTCAGCCTTGTCTTTATACAATGGTTATTCTAACTAAGCCATCAAGCTAGGTGAGACAAATGGGACTGTTATAATTCATTTTAAATTTCCATCTCTGGGTTCTTTGCCTATCAACCATGACAGAGAATTGTCTTTATCATGGATTTTATGCTAGTGAGAGACATCTTCATAATGGGGTAACGTGGAAACTGTGCTTTTATGTATGTCAAACTTCATCTACTAGCGGCTATAAATTCATTGTAACGTGTTCTTTGAAGTTTTATTCTCCTTGTTGGTGTGTTTTGAAATTCTGTCAATGGTTATTCTAACTAAGCCATCAAGCTAGGTGAGACAAATGGGACTGTTAATTCATTTTAAATTTCATCTCTGGGTTCTTTGCCTATCACCATGACAGAGAATTGTCTTTATCATGGATTTTATGCTAGTGAGAGACATCTTCATAATGGGGTAACGTGGAAACTGTGCTTTTATGTATGTCAAACTTCATCTACTAGCGGCTATAAATTCATTGTAACGTGTTCTTTGAAGTTTTATTCTCCTTGTTGGTGTGTTTTGAAATTCTGTAGCCTCAGAAGTCAGAACGTTGAAGCTTGAATACCTGAAAAGAGAAATTTGCTCAATGGGGAGTGTCCTTTGCAATCATCATTATATAAATATCTTCAGTTTCCTTGAGTTATATTAGCTAAAGTATTCAAGTAATTTTCATTTTTCGGTATGTTTGTTAATCATGTTCTGCTGGCCCCTCTGGGGTTCATCATGGATTCAGTTTTCGGTAGAACCATGTGGCCTTTAATTTGTGTTAAACTAATTTAAAGTCACACGAACTACATAGCCCATGTTAGTAATTCTTTAAAATCTTATAATATATTCCCCCCATCCCTATTGTGAAAATTTCTAACCCTGGAACCTCATATTTGCTGCTGACTTCTACTTACAGAACTCAACATATCTACACGCTCCCTAGAGCCACACATATTTTCACTATTATGAGTATTTTCGTAGAATTGATAGAAGTCACAAAACCATCTAAAATAGATGCAATTTGAAAATTTGGAGTAGAAGTATCAAAATAGATCATGACACATGAGGAAGAACTGGATTTTTTCTTTCTAATTTTAACTATAATTGTTTCTTTCTTCTCCTTTATATATTTATTTCATCCTTACAGTGATCATTCATCTTCTCAGTGATGAACCAAGGTACTTTGAGCAGTGATTATGTTTTAGTGCATTATCTGCACCTGACATGTAGTAAAATTTGTACGTCGATGTTTATCCCATAAAAGTAACAATAATTTTTGAAGTCCTCAAGCTGTCAAAGTGAAGGATAAGCTTCACTTCCTTGAGTGTGTTTAATTTGAGAATGGCGTTTTCAATGTGTGCATTTCGTTTTATTTAAAGATTAGTGAGTATGGCCTTAGGAGATTTGAAACTTTTCTAGCACACCTTGGTTGGCTCAGTGATATACATCGTATCACTTCCAACTATCATTCTTATCCCACAGTTCCTTAATCAACCATTTGCCTGTTTTATTATATGAGAAACGCCTGCATCAACCTTACCTTTGTTTTCAGTAAATTTAATACCTCCAATGTCTGCTTACATCCTGTTCCCAGACATTGACTTATTTAAAACTGTTTTGCGTAATTACCGGTGCCATTTCTCTGAATATATTTCCATTTAAGAGATTCTCCTACTATGCTTTTTCATGAACCCCCATTGGCAAAGTTGGAATATAACAGTCTCAACCGCACACAGCTCTTGAGCAAAGCTCTTCTTCCATTTCCATAAACAATCTTATTTTGCCAGAAAAGTTAAAACGTAATGAATTTCTGCTATTGAAGTATAGATTTGTCCTTATCCTTTTATCTAAATGATCATTGTTGGAAGTTTGAAAATCTGACCGAAAATTGGCGATCTATGTAGTTATGTGAAAAGCAATTTAGAAAGTTACTTTATGTATCTCAATTCTGCGGGAGGAGGGGGGCACTTGAGGTTATTCTAGGAGAAGGATTGCCGAAGCACTTTGTCACCTCTTAGGAGGTGAGATTTTGAATAAGCAATTGGAGATTACATTCTCTAAACAAACCCTTAGGACTTGCAAATTATTATGGATAATTGTACTCTTTCATGTTTCAACATCAAGAACTAGAAGCATATGGGTTTCTCTAAACACAGTCAAATAAGATTTGAAAAGCCAGTTGTGCTTCCACATTTTTAACACCCCGTATTCCTACCTTTCTTTCCCTCTTGTTCTCGGTACTTTAATGAATCTTTTAGATTTTTATGCTCCATTGTGTCTACATCTGTTGGGCCTCTTGTATTGGATTAATGGATTTGCTGGAAAGCAGAATCTTGTGTGATGCATGCTTTGACATCTTAAATACGGGATTTTTTTCTCCCCTTCTTTGATTTGATTGATATATAGTACTCCGTCCCATTTATAAATCACATTTTAGAAGGTTCATTTAGTCCTATTTATAAGTCATAGTGTGTCTTTTTAGGTAATATTTAAGGTGTTTTTAAAATTATCCTTCATGAGAGAAAAAAAAAGTAACATGATATTACTTTTTAAATTTATTATATAAGGGCATATTTGAAATTCTACACACTTTTATTTTTTATGTTCTTTTTTTGCATTGATGTTGATGAGGTTGGTAGAAATAACTTATTAAGAGGAGTGGAGGAGTAATAGTTTATCTTTCCTTTTTTTTTTTTGGGCTCTATTTTCTGTTATTTACTTATTTTTATATGTGTAGGTAATCATTCCATCACATCAGCTGAAAGTAGTCAATCCTTCATCAAGCAGAACCAATGCTGCTGAAAAGTACATCCAGGTGGTCTCTGTCGACAATCACGAATTTTGGTTCATGGGCTTCTTGAACTATGAAGGGGCTGTTGACTCCCTGCAAGAAGTTCTGCAAGCCAACAAAGAACCATCTTAAGAATGGAAGCTGTGTGCAGTAATCTAGACCTTCACCCCATTAATATACAGTGTGTATCTTGTAACAAAGTTTAAAGATTTGAAAATTCTGGTCTTGGGGCAGTTGGTTGAAGTATCCCGATCCCTGCAAATTTTTGACAGTTTTGTGGATATAGGTGCAGGGTTCATACCTAAAACCATTTGACGGAATTGCCAACGATATTCTAGTCTATAGAAATGTTCTTTGGTTACTATTCTCTTACCTATCTTTATTCTTGCGTGCCATAACTTGTAATGTGAAAAGTAGTTAGCAACTATCCTTTTGGTCATTAGCTACTGAATGTTTCACTGTCTCACCAACCCCACAGAACCTGCATATTTCTACTCTGAACAGTTAAACTTAGGTCACCAGCTCTATGGCAAACCCGAAGGATTGACTTTGTTCTTGTTCTATGGCTTTCAAGGTTACTGCTAAAGTATTCACCCTTTCGTAAGCATTTCTGTGAGTCATCGTCGTTTTTTCCTGCCAAACCTGAATGTAAACTTTGTTTAGTATATTAAATCTGGCTTATATCTTTGGACTATCGATTCAGTGGTTTCTTAGTTCGGTTTATATCATTGAATGAGTGCCGCCAATAGCTCAATTGGCTCAACAAGAAATTCCAATAACATAGTGAATGGAATCCATTTTTCTTTCCTGTCTAAGTGGGCTTGTTTTACACCATGTCATTATTACTCGATTTAAATTATCTAACAACAATGTACTTCCAAACAACAAAAATAAATTTATTCGGTTATAAATTATCACCCTGACTATCTGCCTGTACTATTTCAGGTGATGATTTTATTTTATTGATTTCATATGTTGTGCTGTTCTTGCTTTCCAAGTGAAAGTGTTGTTGGAACGATAGTGTAATGCAAGTGGTTTAAAATCAAAGATTGAACCAAAAATATAAATATTTAAACCATAAAATACCAAAGTGAGATTAAGCTAAATTACAAGAATCTCCCGCCATTACAGTTCTTTTGTTGTTTTAAACTTTTGTTCTCGTTTTAAAACTAAATGTTTTGGAATTGCTAATGTTTAGTTTATTATTATTATTAACTATATCCTCATTAAACTATCTATAATTGGTAATGAGAGTATTTTAATCTACATTGGGTAATGCTTCCTACATTATAAATTATATGAAAATTTATAAATTTAGATAAATTTTCATATGCCATTTCATTATTACACTTTACAAACTTACTTTTTCAAAATAAAAATATAAATTTTTAAAAATGCTCTTCAAATATATCTTATAATTGGTAATATAAAAAAAGTCTCATTAATAAAACCTTATTTTTGTCAATATATCTTATATTTTGAGATGCTGAACCTCCACAAAAAATCTCTTATAATTTGGGATAGAGTGAGTATTAATTAAGGGTAAAGATTTTTTTTTTTCAATTTTAAAGCCATTAATGAGGTAACCAAGTTTCTCCTATTCTAGTGAGATAGTTGAAAGCGACTTATATTTAAGATAGAGAGTGCTCCCTCTAGTTTCTATTATAATGCACTTTTAACTATTTATTGAAATCAATGAATGACGATTAACTTATTAAATGTTTTAAAATAAAAAAAAATAACTTTGGTCCCATTAAAAATAGGAAGAGTGAGACATACAATATACAATGAATCATAAAATTAAAATTACAATAGAGGTAAAATTAAAAGATGGTAATAAATAACCCTCCATATGTCTTATATTAAATATCAAATAATCCTTATAGAATGTACTTTATAACATGATGACAATACAAAGTATTAAAAAATTAAAATAAAAAAAATTAAATTACCATTCCCCTTCATAACAAATATAATACAATTCAATACTGTATAACACAAATGTAAAAAATATTACACCCTTTATAAATCATTATTCTCAATTTCATAAATTAAAATTACCATTCTCATCCATGAATGCAGTTCATCAATTCCATTCCACATTTTGATCATTTTATTTTTATCTTTTTTTTTTAATTCATCCCATTACATTCCTTACTCACAACCAAACAGGACCTTACTTTATTTTTAAATGGAAAAGACCATTACCTCACAATTATTCAATCAAATATTCATATTTATTATATATATATATATATATATATCATAAATTCAACAAAATAATAAGTGTAAAGATGAATTGTAACATCTATATATAATTATATTTGTTTATTTCACTCTCTTTTTGAACATGTAAATGCATGAAGATAGGGGATTCAAGTTCTTGAAGTAAATCATCAGAGTTTTTTATAGCAAGTGACCCCATAGTCTCCGCTAACCACTCAACTTGTCCAACCCTTTTTGATAATTTCACTGCTCTAAATTCTCTCCTATGCCTCCAAGTGTGGAAAAACACATATAGGCCGGTGTCTCTGGTGTACAAGTCGCACGACAACCTAATTAATAGCAACATCAATTTAGGTTTTAGGCTTTTTTTATGATTAACGAAGGTGGACCATCATCTACAGAAGACCAAAGACCAGATATTGTTAATGACCAGTGTATAGTGAAAGGCCTCAAATAATAAGCCATTGAAATCATCTGACGCTGTAACAAGTAGTGTGGGACATCTCATCTGGCTCTTTCGGCATCTTAATAGTGTCTTACATTAACCATCCGTAGATTGCTATGATTATTGAACCTGCAACGTCTTAATCAAGGAATCTGCTAAACTGTTTATAAAGCAGGCTTAAATCGTTTACATGACCCACTAACATATCTTTCACTTGCACGCGCGAATGTCATTTCTTATGGTTACACTTTTGCAAATATCCTTCTTTAAGTAGGATTAAATTAAAGCTGTAACCATAAAGTAAAACCAAAGCAACCCAATTATGTTAAAGGCAGCCATTGTAGCTTGTACATGCTTAACTCCACTGGGGAAACAAAAGTGGACACCTTCAACTGAAAGTCGATGTTCTGAAATGATCAGTAGATCAATGGTCGATTCACGAGGAAAACCTATTAGAACATATTTCTGTTAATATATTTGTGAGTTACTATGTTGCTTTAGAGTTGGGGTTGGCGTAATAATGAGTGAGCTTAATATATTAATCTCAATATTTGTCAGCGCGACAAAGTTAAAATTGTTTATCATCTAAAAGTTGTTTAATTTCTATTTTAAATCTGGTCCTCGATTGAGTTCTACTGCCATCGCTTCTTCTGTACGTTTTCTTTGTGGATGGAGTAAATAAGTGTTAATTTTATTACCTGTCATTCTCTTTCTAGGTTCTATTATCATGAGATGAGCATGTTTAAGAGTGGTAATTTTACTGTAGATTAACAGTGGACACAAGCGTTTAAGCAAGTTTTTAACGGGTCTTGAGCAAAGTATGCAATTCGACTGTTCCATTAAATCATGAGTCTTGAACAAAGTTATATTCTCTAAATCATGAATGAGTACATCTAGCTTGCTTGCTCGCTCGTCAATATAACAAGATCATGTCGGTGCCCTCTGGTGTGTGTGTGTGTGTGTGTGTGTGTGATATGGACCTTAATTGCTTTTAGGTCATCATAGCAAGTCTTATGTTTTAGCCTTAGGTTTTGTCTAAACGTGCCATCATTTCTGGGCCCTTTGAAATATTTTTTATTTGTATCGCTTTTTAGATTTTGCCAGCACAGACGCATATGATGTTCTTGCGTCTATTTCTTTATTGTATTTTGGATTTGGCGGAAGGTGATGGAAAGCCAAGAGGGGATGAATTAGCTCTGTTTCATTTTCTTTTTTATTATTATATCTCAGTTGTATATCTAGCTACTAACCACCAACAATTAGTGCCTACTCTTGAGTGTTCTTGTTACCATACATTTTCAATTACTTTACATTGATTAAGAAAAATAGTTAAGAATAGTTTAAAATTGTCAAAAATATTGTGATTCCCTTTCAATATTATCATCCAATTCAAATCAATACTCCATCGGGTCCTATCTATATACATAAATCACTTATAATATGTTTTATTAAAACTGAAAAAAATTTAAACCTTATTTTGTTTTGTCTAAAAATTTAACAAATTTTTAACTTTATTCATATTAAATATGCATATTTTAAAGAATTAATGATATTTTTGCCTTTTAATTTTGTTTGAAAGGTCATTGAGCACAATATACCTTAAACTTAATTATGGGTTAATCTTGTCTTTCAATGTTAAAATATTTTCTTCACCATTAGTGGCCCACATTACATTTTTTTAATATTTTTGTAATAAAATATTAAAAAATAATAAATAGATATTAAGCGTTTTTAATATCATGGTGATTAGGAAGGAAATATTTAATAATGAGGTATATAATTAACCTATTGTTGAGTTTAGGGTGCCTAATAATCTTTTGGGTAAAGGTGAGAGACAAAAAATAACTTAACCCTATTTCAAAAGTAAAATTCTTTAACATTTAATAACTTTTTTAATATTTAATAGAAGTAAAATGATAAAGATAAACACAATACTCATTAAAGTGTTTTATAAATAAAATCCAAAACAAATACTATTTATATGCCTTGTAAATAGGATCAGAAGAATATATACTCCTCTGATCCTATTTATAGCTATTTCTAACATGTTTTATGAAAATAAAAAAAAATTTAAAACTTATTAACTTTGTTTAAAAAATTAATAATTTTTTGACTTTATCCCTATTAAATAATATATATATATTATTAATATATTTTTTCTTTCAACATTTAATAGAAGTCAAATAAAAAATTTATAATAAAAATTTAATAAAATAATTTATAAAAAAAATTCTCTCTTTCAACAGGAATAGAGGTAGTTTTAGTTATAGTTGATTTAAATTAATATGGGTATGTGTGGTCAAGGAGAATTTAATGTAGTTGACTTTCTGTATACTGTACCTATCTTATATTTAGGACCGTATACACTTTCAAGAACGTGTTGTATGTTAAGAAGTGGGAAAGTGCTTTTTTCCCTAATCATCTCCTTTTTTTTAATATTTAGTATTTATAGTATAATGCCAACTAATCTGTATATGAGTTCGGTGAGGTCATGTATATGAAAGCTTTGTGAACTTGTTTTCTCTCCTTTAAAAGGTTCTTCAAACTCATAATTTTATTCAGGAGATTTTTTATTACAGACCACTCAATCAAACTATTATTGAATAGCCATAGTTAATTTTTTGAATAAATGAATAAATTATTCTTCAAACTTTTGGTTAAATAGCATCCTGACTCTAAGCTCATTTATTTCTTTAATTTTTAAAAATGATGCATTTTAGCCCTTGATATTAATAAAAGTTAATTTTAACTAATAGTTGATTAGAATTGACAAAAAATAGCCAAAAACTTAAAAAAAATTACAAAAAATAATTCAAAAAATAATAGAGAATGACCAAAAAAATTTTTTGGTCCTTTTCCCATAATTTTGTTGTTCAAAAGTCAAGAATCAATTTACACGATAAATGAATTCAGAATTTATAGTGATATTAAACTTAAAATTTAAGGAATAATTTATTCATTTATTCTTAAATTTTTTAATATTTTAAGATATACTAAAATTAATTTAATTCAAATAAATTAACTCTTTTCAAGTGTTGTGTATCTTTCCGGT